CTGTAATACCTTTCAGAGAGTTATTGTCTGAATTCCAATATACATGCTAAAAGGTACAACTTCCTTAAGTTTTGTCGATAACTGTGTTTATATAAAATACATATAGTGACAAAACTATATTAATATAAAAATTCACATGAGCTTGCTCTATAATATCAACTTAAGTTATATTTAAGATTTTAATTTTTATTAGATAAACTTTATTATTTACATTTCATATTATTTACATATATTTATTAAAAGTTGTCTCTCTCATCAAAATAGATACCGAAACTAGACGGCATCTATTGACTGGCTCGCAATCTAATGGACTCTGGTCGGTAACAACTCCACAACACCAGCTTTTGGCAAGCTGAGAAACTCCCCAGTCTTTCACCAACGTGAATCTGCTAAATTACAAAGGCGGTCAATAGATGGAGTATAGTTTTTGCCGTCTTTTCTTGATGAGTGGGCAGCCTTTTTTAAAAATAAATAATCATCCTCATGGAAAATTTTGCATACATATATTTACAGTTAAACCTGTCTATAGCGCCCCCTCTAAATAGCGCCTCCCTCTCTATAGCGACCGGTTTTAAATACGTAGTACGATGCGATTTACAATAGTGACCTGTCTATAGGACCCTCTCTCTATAGCACCCTATTTTGGTGAGTCCCAAGAGGGGGCGCTATAGACAGGTTTAACTGTATATAAACATGGAAAAAGTAAGAACTTTCCCCTTGGTGTGTGTGTGGTGAATTAAAGAGGTGGTTTGACTGTTATTTATATATATCTACATGACCACTTTACATATCTCCCTTCCTATGTAACAATGGAGTGTTGTGGATGTTGCAGAGCACCCTCAACAAGGTGGTCAACACCATGCAGGAGGTGGAGGGTTTCAACAGGGTGAGTTGGTGGCCTATCTTACTTGTTTCACTTCTCCTAATACAGTACACTCTCACTAGAGGACACCTCTCTACAAAGGAGTTTTCATCTCCAATACAGTAGAACAACCTCCATGAGAGGACACCTCTCTACAAAATACAGTTTTCATCTCCAATACAGTAGAATAACTTCCATGAGAGGACACCTCTCTACAAAGGACAGTTTTCATCTCCAATACAGTAGAACAACCTCCATGAGAGGACACCTCTCTACAAAGGACAGTTTTCATCTCCAATACAGTAGAATAACTTCCATGAGAGGACACCTCTCTACAAAGGACAGTTTTCATCTCCAATATAGTAGAACAACATCCATGAGAGGACACCTCTCTACAAAGGACAGTTTTCATCTCCAATATAGTAGAACAACCTCCATGAGAGGACACCTCTCTACAAAGGACAGTTTTCATCTCCAATACAGTAGAACAACATCCATGAGAGGACACCTCTCTACAAAGGACAGTTTTCATCTCCAATATAGTAGAACAACATCCATGAGAGGACACCTCTCTACAAAGGACAGTTTTCATCTCCAATATAGTAGAACAACCTCCATGAGAGGACACCTCTCTACAAAGGACAGTTTTCATCTCCAATATAGTAGAACAACCTCCATGAGAGGACACCTCTCTACAAAGGACAGTTTTCATCTCCAATACAGTAGAACAACCTCCATGAGAGGACACCTCTCTACAAAGGACAGTTTTCATCTCCAATATAGTAGAACAACCTCCATGAGAGGACACCTCTCTACAAAGGACAGTTTTCATCTCCAATATAGTAGAACAACCTCCATGAGAGGACACCTCTCTACAAAGGACAGTTTTCATCTCCAATACAGTAGAACAACCTCCATGAGAGGACACCTCTCTACAAAGGACAGTTTTCATCTCCAATATAGTAGAACAACCTCCATGAGAGGACACCTCTCTACAAAGGACAGTTTTCATCACCAATACAGTAGAACAACCTCCATGAGAGGACACCTCTCTACAAAGGACAGTTTTCATCTCCAATACAGTAGAACAACCTCCATGAGAGGACACCTCTCTACAAAGGACAGTTTTCATCTCCAATATAGTAGAACAACCTCCATGAGAGGACACCTCTCTACAAAGGACAGTTTTCATCTCCAATATAGTAGAACAACCTCCATGAGAGGACACCTCTCTACAAAGGACAGTTTTCATCTCCAATACAGTAGAACAACCTCCATGAGAGGACACCTCTCTACAAAGGACAGTTTTCATCTCCAATATAGTAGAACAACCTCCATGAGAGGACACCTCTCTACAAAGGACAGTTTTCATCTCCAATATAGTAGAACAACCTCCATGAGAGGACACCTCTCTACAAAGGACAGTTTTCATCTCCAATACAGTAGAACAACCTCCATGAGAGGACACCTCTCTACAAAGGACAGTTTTCATCTCCAATATAGTAGAACAACTTCCATGAGAGGACACTTCTCTAAAAAGGAAAGTTTTCATCTCCAATATAGTAGAACAACCTCCATGAGTGGACATCTCTCTATACAAAGGACAGTTTTCATCTCCAATACAGTAGAACAACTTCCATGAGAGGACACTTCTCTAAAAAGGACAGTTTTCATCTCCAATACAGTAGAACAACCTCAATGAGTGGACATCTCTCTATACAAAGGACAGTTTTCATCTCCAATACAGTAGAATAACTTCCATGAAAGGACACCTCTTTCTACAAAGGACAGTTTTCATCTCCAATACAGTAGAACAACCTCCATGAGAGGACACCTTTCTACAAAGGACAGTTTTTATAGTTTTCTTGAACACCATTTCTAAAATTCCACCCTTCAGTGTAGCATATATAAGCAGAATCATCCAATACGGTATTAGAGCTCTAAGAAACAGACTGATAGATTAAATTGCCCAAGATGAGCAAACCTTCCCAAAAGGTTTTTTGGGAATTTTTATGTGTGAAAGAAACATTACAGTGCTTTAATACTTTATTTTTTTTTTATATATATATATGGGGCGTTTTTGCTTTATATTAGACTTTAATTCAACAGAAAATTCTGTCCTCATGGGATGTTGAATTCAAGTTGGAACTAGCATTAAAAAATAATTATAGTAGAACCTCCATGAGAGGACACTCTCGCTAAAGGACACCTATCTACAAAGAACAGTTTTTCATTTGTAAAATTACCATTTTTACTATTTAGCAACTCTCTGGTAAGAGGATACCTCTCCCTAAAGTACACTTTGGCACTACAATTAGGTGTTGTCCTTTACAGGGAGGTTCTACTGTCAAAATTCGAAACTATTTTAAAGGCGTAAGATTCTTTTTGAAATTAAACAATTTCTACTGCCCTTACTGCAATGGAAAAATTAATGGGAGGGTAAAAAATAGTTTCGAAATTTGATAACAGATGGAGAGCTAGTGCATCCTATTATAAAAAGGTTCTACTGTATTAGCAATAATTTAAAATAGTCATTATTCCTTTTTGTTTATTCCGTTATGTACTTAACTTAGTTACATACTGGCTGTGTCCCACAGATGCTATTGGATAACGTCACAGTCACCCTGATAAAGAGTCTAAATGAGTTCATCAAAGGGTGAGTACTACCCCTACCCTTTATCCTCTTCTTTTTTTAACCCATTCTTTTGCTCAAGGAGAAACCTTGTCCTCCTCATTGTTACTGCTGATTGACTGTTAAGGTTTTTTTTTCTTTCTTGTTGATGATTGGTTGTTGTAAACTTGGTGGTTGTGATTGCGACAAGCACATTTACTGACAATGCTGGTGTGATCTTCTGATATCACTATCTCTTTCTCTCTCTCGCTAATTCTGTGTCTAGAGGATATAATCACACAAATTTGAAAAATCATGTGAAAATGCCCTTGCAACCTCAGAACAATTTTTAACGCCTTGCCAAATTTTAAATTTTATTTACTTCTCTTGACGAAGACAAAAGATTTTTGTCGAAACGTTGAGAAAAATAAAAAAAAACTCCAACTGGCCGAAGTGTCTATTTTTCATATAAATAATCACACAAGATCACATAAGATCAAATAGAAAGATTCCAAATCTGAGAAATCTAAATTAACTAATAGTGTGTGACATTTTGGTAACAACGTTGTTACCATCATTAACTAAAAGTACTGAATCTAGTGTTATAGACGAGAAACTTGTGTTTTCCCCATAATCTATAATTCAAATTGTGCCTTATCACAGACGATTAACTTTACAAGCTTTGGCACCCTAATATCATTTAGTGGAGATAAGAAAGAAGAAGAAGAGACAGTGTGTTTGAAGTTTATATGTTAATTTTGTAATTATTCTTATTTTTTTTAATTCATAGAAATATTTTTCTGGCAGATATATTCAATTTTTTATCATCATCATCAGCTTTTTTTATTATTATTGTTTTGTTTTTTTCTCTTAATTATCAAATCAATTTTGTAATTGTAGTACCTTTTTTGTTTTATTGTGTTCCTTTTTTTAAGCAATAAAATATATGTAGAACTAAGGTGTAATATTCAATTCAAGCATATGGAACCAACATCGATTCATTTTTAAAACAAAGCATAAATCATAAGCTTATACAACTTTTTTTTTCATACACAGAGGATTAATAAAAAAGGACCAGATTCTTCCAGAAAGGCTGGAGATTTCCACTAAGTTGACTGTCCATGCTGAACACAGAGGAAAAAGCTGAGTCACAGTTGATCTCTGACTTCCTGCTTTGATAAACTACCGGATGATCACTTCATCCTTTGCTTAGTTTGGTTGTTATATATGTGTGCGCTCATGGACAAAACTTAAGGAAATGGAAAGACTTTGATGTCCCTGGTCCTCTATATATATATATTTTTAAGACAGAGGCAATTTTGTTCACACTTGGTTATCTCGTGTGTCTTCAATAAATATTTCAAATTGTAACTTATCACCCTTGAGTGGTTCTTTAAAGCAGGTTTCACAATTTTGTTGTTGTTAGAGTCCATCAAGTCAACTAATGGTGACACTCTATGGACAACTAATCGCCTATTTGATCAGTTAGTGTCTATCTCTCATAACTTATCTAGTGATCTATAAAAGTGGAGATGCCGGGATTTGAACCAGAGACCTTTCACACGCAAAGCAGACTCTCTACTACTGAGCTATATCTCCATTTTACAGTTTTATGATGGACCAGGCAGACACCATCAACAAGCTTTACAAGCTTGATACCTTAGTGTGATTGAGTGGAGATAAGAAAGAAGGAAGAAGAAGATGATTTAACAGTAATCACTTTTTTAAAAATTTTTATTATCCCTATTCCATGATGGGTAAAAAGAGCTGTTGTTGGTTGGCTATCCAGGCGGGAACCACATGGAGGTGACAGTCAAGACTTCCCCCCCCCTAGTATTGACCATGATTATCATGTCCCTTACTAGGACTCCTACGGGCATACAAAGATATCTAATACAGCATGCCATGTTGTACAGGAACATAAAGAGTGTGAAGGAGACCAAGAAATATTTTGACAAGATCAGTGATGACCTGGACTCAGCCCTACAGCGGCATTCCCAGATGTCCCGCACCAAGCCCCACGAGGGAGATGCGGAGAACATCAATGTCCTCGATGCCTTCCGTTCCTGTTTCCGCCACACTGCCCTTGACTATGTCTCCCAGGTCTGGCCTCCTTACCTGAGTTGTGGTTCAGCAGCGAATGACATCTTGAATAGAAATACTTTCTTTCTATTATCCTTAGTAGACATACAGTTAAACCTGTCTATAGCGCCCCCCTCTAAATAGCGTTTTCCTCTCTATAGCGGCCAATTTTAAATAGTACGATGCAATCTGTTGCAACATTATGCAACCTGTCTATAGCACCCCCTCTCTATTGTACCCTATTTTGGTGAGTCCCAAGAGGGGGCGCTATAGACAGGTTTGTTGTTGTTTCTTATCCCCCTGTGTAAAGATTACACAAATTCCATGAGTTCATGATCTCATGGAATGGGGTATAGGGGTGCAGCTTTCGTTGATCATGGCACCATGATCCAGGCACACTTTGGTGAAAGTCTGACTTTGCTTGTAGTTTGAGGCCATTCCTAACATGGAAGCCTTTGCTACCGACTCTAACATGAGTACAGACACAACTCCTCTGTATCCCTGGAGAGGGGCCATTGCTGAGGTCCATCAACCGGGTCAGTTGAACTCAGTATTTTTAAAGAGGAGTTTAGACAGGTTTAACTGTAGTCTAAACCATGATAATCATGGTGGGTAGCAAATAGCGCCTGCTTTTACTGCAAGTGAACCACATGTTGACACATGTAGAAAGTGGTTCGACATTAGCACTTATAAGAGTGCCAGGGTCCAATTTGCTTACTTGTACTCACTGGTGGGGTTGAATTTTATTTTGCAAGAATCTGGGGTCATTTGAAATCTTTTTTTTTTTCTTCAGGTAAAAAAAGTTCCCAATGAAAGATTCAATCCTGAGTCGTAGCTGTCAACAGTTTATACCTCTCTACAACGGTTGCCGTCTCTCGGTTCATACCATATTCCAGAATACCTTCAGGCTTTTTGGCTTAAGTACTGTTGTTGTTGTTTCTTATCCCCTTGTGTAAAGATTACACAAATTCCATGAGTTCATGCTCCTCGAGCTGTTTTATGATAAGCAGCGGTCTCTCCCAAAGGTCCTGTTTAGTGCATCTAATACAAGCCAAAATGTGTTCTGGCGCTGCAGGTGACAAGCTACATTTTGGGCAAGTGGGGGCTTTAAGTACTAATGACTTTAAGTTATTTGTGTTAATGTACAATTTGGGGGACTGTAGATTAGAACCATAAGGTAACAAGAACAAATCTAAATGAATAAATTGTGTGTGATGATTCGATGAAAATGTTGTTACCAAAACATCACACACACAATTTATTGATTTATTCTTGTTACCTAATGTTTATAGTCAGTTGAATTCAATAGATTCTACTCCAGTTTCAATTCTAGTTTAGAGACTGCACCTTAATATTTGCACAACCCTATATTTTTTATCCCAACTGAATACACTAGGATACAACATCCATGAGAGGACACTCTCACTTAACTTTCTATAAAGGACAGTTTTCATTGCCAACAAGTTATAATTTTTGCTAATTAGCAACTCTCTGATAAGAGGACACCTCTCCCTAAAGAACACTTAGCTTTGTAACTAGGTGTCGTCCTTTACAGAGAGGTAGTTCTACTGTATTTAGAAACTCTCTGGTAAGAGGACATTTCTCTCTAAAGAACCCTTTGGCTCGGTACACTCTCTAAAGTACAAGCTTGTTCAGCGGTACATATACTAAAATTGGAACGATACAGAGAAGATTAGCATGGTCCCCTGCTCAAGGATGACACAAAATCGTAAAGTGTTCTAAAGAACACTTTGGCTTTGTAAATAGGTGTTGCCCTTTACAAAGAGGTAGTTCTACTGTATTTAGAAACTCTCTGATAAGAGGACACCTCTCCCTAAAGTACAGTTTGGCTTTGTAAATAGGTATTGCCCTTTACAAAGAGGTAGTTCTACTGTAGCAACTCTCTGGTAAGAGGACACTTCTCCCTAAAGTACACTTTGGCTTTGTAAATAGGTGTTGCCCTTTACAAAGAGGTAGTTCTACTGTATTTAGCAACTCTTTGGTAAGAGGACACTTCTCCCTAAAGTACACTTTGGCTTTGTAAATAGGTGTTGCCCTTTACAAAGAGGTAGTTCTACTGTAGCAACTCTGGTAAGAGGACACTTCTCCCTAAAGGACACTTTGGCTCTTAACTAGGTGTTGTCCTTTATAAGAAGGTTTGTTCTGTTGTATTTCCCTCTATTTGATGGCTATGTTGTGGGTACAGATCAGCTGCCACCAGTCCAAGAAAAGATACGAGATCCTGGAATTGGTGAGTGTTCTTTCTTCATTTTGCTCACCTTCTTGGAAGTAATTTCTTCCTTTATATATTGGGGTGTTGGATTTATACAGTTGAGACTCATATCAAATTGGTCTCCCTTCTGTTGTTGTTTCTTATCCCCCTTATGCAAATATAGCATGAATTCCACGAGTTCATGCTCCTCGAGCTGATCTCATGGAATGGGGTGTAGGAGTGAAACTTTCGTTGATCATGGCACCATGATCCAGGCACACTTTGGTGAAAGTCTGACTTTGCCTGTAATTTGAAACCATTCCTACCAGTATGATATAACCAACACAGTTTAACCTACAAGTGTTATAACCAATAGAGTTCAACAAATCAGTGTAATATAACCAATACATATATTAATTTTTCCATTGCAGTAAGGGCAGTAGAAATTGTTTAATTTCAAAAAGAATCTTACGCGTCCCAAAATAGTTTTGAATTTTCATAACAGATGCCACGCTATGCATCATAATACAAATGTTCCAATAAAAGACACAATTTGATATTTGCGGAAGAGCGATTGCTCGAAGCATATTATATATTTATAAATGTATGTAATTCTGCTGTCCTCAAAGTTTATCTAAAATACCCATTTCAAGAGTCTAGCATCAGTATCACTATAAAAGGAAGATCGAAAAATGCAATATAACAGCGGTATGGTAGATTAAACTGGCGAAACCGTTGGGAGGGTTCACCACTGATGAGCCAGGCCCTCCCATTAATTTTTCCATTGCAGTAAGGGCAGTAGAAATTGTTTAATTTCAAAAAGAATCTTCTAAAATAGTTTTGAATTTTCATAACCAATACATAGTTTAACCAACCATGGGTGTGTTCCAGTATCTGACCATAATGAGTGCTTACAACAACTACTTCACCATGGGCTCAGAGCTCATGTCAGAAACTCAGCCCGCCATGAAACAAGCCAGAGAAAATGTAAGTTCCTTACTATGGTCTCTCTTACTCCATGCTTCTAGCCCACTCTAAATGTCTCATTAGAATGCCATGGTTTTTGATTGTTGTTGTTTCTATGACAGAAATGAAAGCAATTTTGCTGGTGATATTTCCCTAATGAGTAATGATAAGGCACAATTTGGATTATAGATTATAAACACAAGGTAATATTTAAACCATGCTGTGGTAAAATTTCTCATTCAGTACTTTCTGAAGATTGTAACAATGCTGTTACCGAAACGTCACGCACTATTTATTTATTTGGATTTGGTCTTATTACCTTGTGACCCTAATGAGTATTTTAAACACAAGGTAATAAGCCCAAATCCAAATAAAAAAAATAGTGTTGGATGTTTTGGTAACAATGCTCTCACCAAAATGTCACACACTATTTATTTATTTGGATTTGTGGTCTTATTTCCTTGTGTTTATAATAAATAATCCAAATTGTGTGCCTTATTATCAATGATAAAGCACAATTTGGATTATAATACAAGAAAATAAGACCTAATCCAAATAATTTATTAGTGTGTGACGTTTCAGCAACAACATTGTCACCATCATCAGACAAAAGAATAAAATAGACAATTATTTGTCTGATGATGGTGACAATGCTGTTGCCGAAACGTCACACACTAATAAATTATTTGGATTAGCTCTTATTTTCTTGTATCTTATTATCATTAATGAGAATTCTTTTTTTTTTTTCTGTTGTGTTGTTGTTGTTGTTTCTTATCCCCCTGTGTGAAGATTACACGAATTCCATGAGTTCATGCTCCTCGAGCTGTTTTATGATGAGCAACGGGCTCTCCCAAAGGTCCTTTTTTTTTTTCTGTGAAATAATAATAATGTATACAAAATTTGGATTATTAGATTAGAAACACAAGGTAAAATAAGACCAAATTAATAGATAGCGAGTGACATTTTGGTTACAGTCTTGTTTCCCTCATTCATTCACAACTTCTGTCTGCTGATGGTAACATTGCTGTTGCTGAAATGTCGTTTTAATTCAGGATCCGGTTTTATTACCTTGTGTTTCTGTATAAAAGAAGTAAGTGGGATGCCTTGTAAGTTGACTTATCACTCATAAAATACACCTATCCCCCGATTTACACGGTACTTGTTTTACACGTTTTCACTTTTACACGGTTTTCCAAATAAGTTTTTTTGTTTTTGTTTTTATTGCACTATACTAAATGCTACTGTGATTGAACACATGCGCTGTGTACACATCTTATAAGGAATCCCGAGCTTATGTGCTGACTTGCTGCACACGCACACTGTGTGTGTACTTCTTTGC